TGGGTTCAAACCCACCACCTTCAGTATATGGGGCTTGTGCCCTACTGTCTGAGCCATAGGCGCCGCCCCTAAAGTGTGCTTAACCACTGAAATTTAAGGGTTAGAACCCCATGCTTTCTCATTCTCAACACTGCAAATAAACAAATCTCCTTTTTTTTTTCAAATCATCATATGCTGTATGTTCATGCCATACCACATTAAGCAATGCTCAGTTTTATATATTATAGATATCACTCAATTAAGACAAATAAGGTTTTCCCAAAACTGTGACTTCTTTAACGACTGCTTACTTCTTGCTGCCAGTATGGCTCCTGTTAAGGCACCACTTGTGATGGAGTTCCAGGGATCTTCTTTTCCTCTGACTTGAACCATACTACAGTCAATCATGGAAAACAGACCTCCCCAAACAGCAAAGCTACCTATTTCACAAACAAACAAATACTAATTTCATCTTATATTTAAAATGCCATGGTCAAAAGTAACTTTATATAACATTCACCATATTTTCAAAACTCTCATATTCCAAACACACGCAAATACACGTTTGAATGAACAGTGAACAAAAGTCAGAATACTAGCTGGGCACGGTGGCGGTGGCTCACCCCTGCAATTTGCAATTCTAGCACTCTGGGAGGCCATGGTGGGTGGACTGCCTGAGCTCCCAGGTTTGAGACCAACCTGAGCCAGAGTGAGACCTCATCTCTAAAAATAGCAGGGCATTGTGGCAGGTGTCTATAGTCCCAGTTACTTGGGTGGCTGAGACAAGAGAATCGCTTAAACCCAAGAGTTTGAGGTTGCTATGAGCTGTGATGTCACAGCACTCTACCAAGGGTGACATAATGAAACTCTGCTCCCTCCCCCCTCCAAAAAAACACAAATTGGCTAGTACTCTGGGATGCTTAGGCAGGTGGACTGCCTGAGCTCAAGAGTTCAAGACTAGCATGAGCAAGAGTGAGACCCTATCTCTAAAAAACAGCTGGGTGTTGTGGCAGGCACCTGTACTTCCAGTTACTTGGGAGGCTGAGGCAAGAGGATCACTCGAACCGAAGAGTTTGAGATTGCTGTGAGCTATGATACCACAGCATTTAAACCCAGGGCACAGAGTGAGAATCTGTCTCAAAAAATTTAAAAAAAAAAGAACACAAGTTTTTGACTTATTCATGGTTTTGCAGAATGTGCTCTAAAAAAATCTTGATAGGCTCAGTGCCTGTAGCTCAGTGGTTAGGGCACTGGCCACATACACCAGGGCTGACAGGTATGAGCCCAACCCAGGCCTGCCAAACAACAACAACTACAACAAAAAAATTGCTGGATATTGTGGCAGGCGCCTGTAGATCCAGCTACTTGGGAGGCCGAGGCAAAGAGAATCGCTTAAGCCCAAGAGTTTGAGGTTGCTGTGAGCTGTGACACCAGAGCACTCTACTGAGGGCAACATAATGAGACTGTCGCTTAAAAAAAAAAAAATCTTGATAACATTCTGGAAGGCTTAGGAGGGAGGGATCAGTTGAGCTCAGGAATTTGAGATCAGCCTGAGCAAGAGACCCCCATCAAATTAGCTGGTGCTGTGGTAGGTAACTGCAGTCCCACCTACTCAGGAGGCTGAGACAGAAGGATCCCTTTAGCCTAAGAGTTTGAGGTTACTGTGGGCTAGACTGAGGCCCTGGCCCTCTAGCCCACATACAAAAAAAAAAAACCAAAAAATTTGAAAGATAATCACAAGGAAAAACATTCATCTGAAAGAATAAGGATGTACCTTCCCAATAAAAATGAAACAAGTGTCAAAGTGAAATGTCAGAGTAATCAACTCTCAAATTAGTACTGAGTTAGACATTTATTACTTAATAACAGATAAGTGCAGTATTTTAAACTGTACACAAACTTTATGGATACCCTGTATAATAGATTAGCATGGAGTATTTGTCACAACTAGTGACCCAATATTGATAACATTATTACTAACTAAAGTCTGTATTTTATTCAGATTTCCTTAGGTTTTTTTTTTTTTTGGTCAGGGTTGGGTTTGAACCCGCCACCTCCAGCAAATGGGGCCAGTGCCCTACTCCTTTGAGCCACAGGCGCCGCCTCAGATTTCCTTAGTTTTTAATGTCCTTTTTCTGTTCCAGGGTACTACATTTCATTCAGTTGACATGGCTCCTCAAGCTTCTCTTGGCAATGACAGTTACCTAATTATTTCCTAACTCAATAACAATGTATGAGGTGCAGGGGGAGGGACGGGCAAAAACTTCCTAATGGATACAAGGAACACTATCTGGGTGATGGGCACATTTATAACGCTGACTCAAGCATAACAAAATTGATACATGTAACCATAAGCACTTGAACTCCTGTATATAATATTTGGAAATAAAAATAACCCCCCTGGGGAGGGGAGGTGGAAGGATATTTGGGGGAACCTCATCTAATGTGCATGATGCAATGGTACATTTCAAAACTACTTTAAAAAAAGAGTATAATTGTGATGAATGGGTTACTTAGTTCAATGTAAGCATTTCACATTGCATATTAAATCAGTACACTGAACCCCATAAATGCATCAAAGTACACAATTATGACAATAAAAAATATAAAATTAAAAAAATTAAAAAACATAAAATAAAACCCCCCAAATGCGAATAAATTATGAATTTAGTTAATGATAACATATCAATACTGCTTAATTAATTGTAACAAATGTATTATATTAATGTAAGATGTTAATAATAGAGAAAACTTGGTGTGGGTGTATTTGGGAACTCTACTAATCTTTCCTATATTTTTGTAAATCTAAAACTGCTCTAAAATAAAGTTTATTATTTATTTATTTTTACTTTTTTTGAGACAGAGCCTCAAGTTGTCACCCTGGGTGAAGTGCTGTGGCATCACAACTCATAGCAACCTCCAACTCCTGGGCTCAAGCGATTTTCCTGCCTTTGCCTCCCAAGTAGCTGGGACTACAGGTGCCCATCACAATGCCTGTCTATTTTTTGGTTGCAGCCATCGTTGTTGTTTGGCGGCCCAGCTGGATCCGAACCCGCCAACTCAGGTGTATGTGGCTGGTGCCTTAGCCACTTGAGCCAGAGGCGCTGAGCCTATTTATTTTTTTGAGATAGTCTCATTCTGTTGCCACTGGCTAGAGTGCCATGGCATCATAGCTCACTGCAACCTCAAACACTTGGGTTTGAGTGATCCTCTTCCAGGCGTGCTCAAACTACAGCCTGCGGGCCACATGCAGCCCACCTAGGACATTTATCAAGCCTGCCAGTTGTTTTTGCTGCAGCTACCTGTCCTGCTTAGCAGCCAACTCATCCCGGAGACCGCAGTCCAACCGTCTGAGGGACAGTGAACTGGTCCCCTGTTGTCTGAGGACCCCTGTGTCATGCCTCAGCCTCTCAAGTAGCTAGGATCACAGGTGCATATCATAATGCCCAGATAATTTTTCTAGTTTTAGTAGAGACAAGATCCCGCTCTTGCTTAGGCTGGTGTCAAGCTCCTCAGCTCAAGTAATCTACCTGCCTCGGCCTCCCAGAGTGCTAGGATTACAGGTGTGAGCCACCTCACCTGGCCTAAAATAAAGTTTATTATTTAAGATTTAAAAAACAAAAAAAAGGAAATAGGGACCAGGTATGGTGGCTCATGTCTATAATCCCAGCGCTTGGGAAGCCAAGGTCTTGTAGATTGCCTGAGCTCACGACTTCAAGACCAGCCTGAGCCACAGCAAGACCCTGTCTCTAAAAAACAGCCGAATGTTGTAGCAAGTACCTGTAGTCCCGGCTACTCAAGAGGCTAAGGCAAGAGAATCGCTTAAGCCCAAGAGTTTGAGGTTGCTGTGAGCTGTGATGTCATGACACTCTATGGAGGGTGACAAAGTTAGACTCTGTCTCAAAAAATACATAAATAACTAAATAAGTAAAGGAAACACGTAAGGTGATAGAAACAGCATCTCGGGGTGGCTCCTGTGGTTCAAAGGAGTAGGGCGCCGGCCCCATATGCCAGAGGTGGTGGGTTCAAACCCAGCCCTGGCTAAAAACTGCAAAAAAAGAAAAAAAAAAGAAACAGCATCTCAAAAACCAAATATAAATCCTACTATGACTTCTGCATATACTAGAGATTCAGGGTTTGGCGTGCATTTAATACTACTTTTTTTTTTAAATGGAGACAGAGTCTCACTTTGTTACCCTCAGTGGAGTACAATAGAATCATAGCTCACAGCAACCTCCACCAATCCCTGGGTCCTTGGGTTTAAGTGATTCTCTAGCCTCAGCCTCCCAAGTAGCTGGGATTACAGGCGCCTGCCAGAAGGTCCGGCACTTATTTGGTAGAGACAGGGTCTCACTCTGGCTCATGCTGGTCTCGAACTTCTGAGCTCAGGACAAACCACCCACCTCAGCCTAATACTACTTTTCATTCTTGAACATCATAGTAACCATCAAAACAAAGGAAAATTAGTTACTATTCACTTTCCAGAATATACAATTATTGCAGAGGGGAAAAATAAAAAAAAAAAGATACACAATCACTTCAGCATCAATACCTCATCTGGAAAATGAGGATAATCAAATAGGATAAAGTTGTAAAACACTTAGCAGCATAATGCTTAGCAAATAGTAAGCATTCAGTAAGCAGTAGCTATAAGCTACTACCTTCAAAAGAAAAATATGCTGAAAACAAAGAGATTATTCTGGTGCACAAAATTTCTAAGGAATGAAGTATTAAGTCTTTTTCATGTCTTATATACAATCTCTTCAATCTGACTATCTTTGTAAGTGTATCACCTCCAAACTTTGTCATCTCCCTTCTCCAAGCTTCTGAATAACCAAGTTTAAAAAAAAGTACAATAAATATAATCTTTTCAAATTTTGCATTGACCGCCATACAATGTCCAAAAGCTAACCTTGGAGAAGGGCCCAATGAGGTTGACCAGTTTCTCTCTCATGAAACCCCAATCCTTCAGATCACATTCTCTTCAGCTTTATGCTTCTTCTTCTTTTTTTTTTTTTTGTCTGTCTCACTTTGTCACCCTGGGTACAGTGCCATGCATTACTGCTCACAGCAACCTCAAACTCTTGGGCTCAAGCAATTTTCTTGCCTCAGCATCTACAGTAGCTGGGACTACGGGTGCCCGCCACAACGCCCAGGTATTTTTAGAGACAAAATCTCTCTCTTCCTCAGCCTGGTCTTGTACCTGCGAGCTCTGGCAATCCACTCACCTCGGCCTCCCAGAGTGCTAGGATTGCAGGCATTAGCCACCTCAAGGGTCCCAATTCAAGTTAATTTTCTTTTCTTTTTTTTTTTAAGAGACAGAGTCTCACTTTATTGCCCTCCATAGAGTGCCATGGCAGCGTCACACAGCTCACAGCAACCTCCAACTTCTGAACTTAGGTGATTCTCTTGCCTTAGCCTTCCAAGTAGCTGGGACTACAGGCGCTTGCCACAATGCCCGGCTATTTTTTTGTTGGGGTTTGGCCAGGTCCGTATTTGAACCTGCCACCCTCGGTATATGGGGCTGGCGCCCTACTCACTGAGCCACAGGCGCCGCCGCCAAGTTAATTTTCTTGAACAAACCATAAACCAAGAAGAACCTACAGGGATATTAATTTGTGACAAACTGTTAAACCCAACTAAAATCACTAATTGGTACAATCTTAAAAGAAAAAACATAGTTCCATCTTCAAATAAACAGATAAAGATAAAGTAAAATGAATACATTCTGCTCACCTCCCAATTGTGGAGCTCTGGTTTTAATAGCTGTCAAACTCCCTCGTAGTCTGTGGTTTACTCCCTATAAAGAAAACAAAAGGAAGCAACCAAAAATATAACATACTGGATGTAAAATCCACTGATGAGACTCACAGTAATATTATCAAACTCATCTATCAAGTGAGGATAAAATAAGACCATCACTCACCACTGGAGAATTTCGAAAACCTTTGATTGCTTGAAAGATACCACCACCAATGGTACCCATCGTAAAGGCCCCACCACAGTCATCCACTATTCGCCAGGGGCTAAGAACAGAGAGGGGAAAAGATAATCATATTTCATTCATAAGCCATTAAACCTTCTTTCCTAACACATTAAGGGATGTGACAGATTCCACAGCAGGGCCCACTGCAACCAATAAACATTTGGTTTTGTTTATAAATGACTTGAGAAAATGCTGTAACCAAACAGACCAGTCAGAAGATCAAGGAAGTTTTGACTATAAAATTTACCAGATAACTGACTGTATTGCTTCAGGACATATGTATTATGATTTAGTAAATGAAAACTCATTACTTTTGTAAGATTTTTATCTCTACAAAGTTAAATACATTATCCCCTTGCTAACCTGTCATTATGCTATTTCAAGCAGCAGTGTAAAGGGTGCTGAGTCCTGTATATCTGAGCACAATCCAGGAAGGGAATAATTGCCTTTGAAGAAAGTTAGTTTGAAGAGCCAGGAAGTACTGCAACATATAACCCTGTATGCTATTTGGTGGTGGTGGTGGAGAGGATAAAGCAGGCTTCAGGACTAAGAATAGTAAAGGAGTAATTCAAAGTCCTGGGCGCTTTCACAATTTGAGGACACCTTGGTTCTTGCTCACAAATAATAAAATAGGTGATTAAACTAAATACCGAGATTTGATTTTTCACTTAGGACCCCAGAAATTTTAAAATCAGACAAACTGGGACTTTTCTGATAACAATTACACCACTTTATAATTATTTATTTATGTGCTTGATGCATTGATGTTTTATTCCTCGAACCTAATCAAATGCTAACATACAGCCTTCACTCAAGCACTGAATGAATAAATAAATTTCTATTCATGGCTTCTCTGAGAACGCAAGCTACGTTCTCTTCCTATAGTCCAGATAATTTTTGTCCTCTTTACCCTCCAAGGGAGAATTCCAAGCAAGAAAACAAGGCTCCAGCTTATCAGAGCTTATCCAACCCCCCTGAGTTAAACAAAGTCCCTCTCATTCGAAATGCCTCACCCGGGAGACACCTATGATGAGATAAGGCCTCAAGAACAGCACTCCCTGAGAGGCCTACCTTCCTTTCCTCAACAAGAGAACTGAGCAAGGCGAGGGGTAGGGACGCGTCCAAGGTCACCTAAACAGGCAGAGAGGACAACAACCAACCCCGCAAAAGGTCAAATGTACCCTGCGTTGGGAGCAGGTACGTAGATCTCCTCCTCATCCACTACAAGGTCACAGGGTGCTAGGTTATGGGCGGCGAGGCTCACGCGGCTGAGTGGACAGGGTGGGGTACAGGGCTGAGAAGCCAACTGGCCTCTCGAGTCTGCACTGCCCACGGTTACCAGGCCCACGTCGACGAGTTTGTGGCTGAGTATGGCTTGCACCTTGGAAAACTAGACAGAGGTGAACTAGGGATGTGAGCAGAGGACAGCAGATGAGACTCACCAAGGTTCCCGGGCATACTCCTCCATCTTGACACCAGCAGCGCGAATGACGCCGGGCAGGCTGGGCGGAGCCTGACCCCAACAGCGGAAGTGATCCCGAGAGGAGGGCGTTAAGGTCTATGGGGATTGGTTTACCGCTTTCCCCGGCAACCAATGGGAGCCGGGAAGCTGTCGGTGGTGCCGGCCCCCGGCTTGGCATAGCCCACGTCCTCGAAGGCGGCGAGTTTGGGTTATGTGGGCGGGGAGCTACGAACAAGGAAGAGTTCCAGTTACCGTGTAACTAGAGGTTCCTTGGCCTGGGATCAACCTGATATTATTCCGCTAGGGTTCTCCTACTTCTTAAATACGTTTTTTTCTTTCTTCTTTTTTTTTTTTTAGTACTTTTGCTGTCAACTGTGAATTAATGCCACCTACTTCCTCATTGATCGTGAACCTCTTACCAACTCCTTTAGGGCAAAGATGTCTCAGTCCTTTATATAGGGTGCCGCCAAAGTCGCCACACATAGGGAAAATGGGAAATTGTAGCTGAATGTACGTTTGTTTCCAAAATATTCATTACAAAATTTTACAAAGAAGTGGCAAACACGTAGATACTTTTTCTTTTTTCTTTTTGAGACGGAGCCTCAAGCTGTTGCCCTGGGTAGAGTAATGAGGCATCACAGCTCACAGCAACCTCCAACTCCTGGGCTCAAGGGATTCTCTTGCCTCAGCCTCCCAAGTAGCTGGGACTACAGGCGCCCGCCACAACGTCCGGCTATTTTCTGGTTGCAGCGGTCATTGTTGTTTGGCGGGCCGGATTGGATTCGAACCCACCAGCTCAGGTTGTATGTGGCTGGTGCCTTAGCCGCTTGAGCCATAGGCGCCGAGCCGCGTAGACATTTTATAAAATTTTTTGCAATGAATATTTTGTAAATAAAGGTACATTTAGCTACAATTTCCATTTTCCCTATGTGTGGCGACTTTGGGACACCCTGTAATCACAGTGCCTGGAATTTGCTAGCTGGCTCAATAAATATTTGTGAAATTGGAACAATTTGGGCCATCTATAGTGCCGTGACCAATTTGGACCCCTGGATTTGAATGACATAGATGGTGGAGCCTCTTGGGGGCCTACCCTCTGATCACCAGAAAATATGAAGAGTGGGACTAAAGGGAAGAGAAGACTAAAGGGGTGGGGACAAAGTAAAAAAACAAATAAGACAAAAACCAAAAACAACTTCAATCATGTGACAGCTGTTAAAGGTGCACCTCACTGTTCTGTTGCTTTTGCAATAGATTTTAAAATACAGTCTGAGTGTGGTGGCTCACAGCTCTAATTCCAGCACTTTGGGAGGCTGGGGTGGGAGGAATGCTTGAGCCCAGGAGTTCTAGACCACCCTGAGCAACGTAGCCAGAGATCTGATCTCTACAAAACATAAAAAAATTAACTGGCCTGGTGGAATATATCTCTAGAATCACCTGAGCCCAGGAGTTTGAGGCTATAGTAAACAGAGATGGTGCCCACTGCATTCCTGCCTGCACCACAGAGCCAGACCCTGTCTCTAAGAAAAATAATTTTTTTTAAATGTACACATTTGTTTTATGGAAAAGTCAGGGTAATAAATAATATGAGACTGCAGAGAAGAGTGGAGTTCTCTTCAAAAACTTGGACATAAAGTAAGCAGGTGAGTTGAACTCTCCATTGAACTAAAGATTATCAGCAAATATATCTTATATGTGAGAATAGTTCAAATTAGTCATCTGATTTGGACGTATAAGTTTGAGAAGGCCTGTTTAGAATGTGACTATAATTCAAAACACTTAAATCTGGTGATACAGTCTGAAGAGAGAATGTGGGAGGGGAGTAACATGGAGCCTCAAGGGAGAAACTCAGAGGGCGAGAACATGATGTTTAGTCAGCACCCAGACCTAGTGGACATAAATATTTTCAGTAACTAGAGATTTACACTCTCATGGGGCAAGGATATTTTTTTTGGTTTCCCGAGACCAGATGAAATATCCCCTACTTCTAGACACCTCCTTTTCTCTTATACCATGTTCATTATGCAATCTTCTAATTATTATTTGGCTTCTAAATAGATTTCCTTACAGGAGAGAATGCCCTAGCCTATGCTCAGAACCATTCTTGTCCACTTGGTAGTTAGTACTGATTTGTGCATCTGTCTCTTGTGAAGTCAGTTTTTTAGACTTAGTCACCAGGAATAGTCAGGGTTCTCCAGAGAAACAGAACCAATAGGCACTGAGGCAGGTGGATTGTTCAAGCTCAGGAGTTCAAGACCAGCCTGAGCAAGAGTGACACTCAGGCTCTACTAAAAATAGAAAACAAAAACTAGTCGGATATTGTGACATATGCCTCTAATCTCAACTGCTCAGGAGGCTAAGGCAAGAGGATCACTTGAGACCAGGAGTCTGAGGTTGCCATAAACTAATATCACAGCACTCCACCCATGGCAACAGAATAGGACTCTATGTCCAAAAAAAGAAAAGAACAACTACAACAACAAAAACCAATAGGCAATAGCATATACTTAGATATTTATTTATTTATTATGAGGAATTGACTCACATGATTATGGAGGTTGAGAAGTCCTATGATCTATGTCTGCAAGCTAGATACCCAGTAAAGTCCGTGGTGTAATTCAGTCCAATTATAAAAGCTGGAGAACCAGGAGAGCCAAGTCTGAGTTCAAAGGCAGAAGATAAGATGAAATACCCCAGCTGATCAGTGAGGCAGGAAAAGAAGAGCAAATTCCTCCTAACTCTGCCTTTTGCTCTTTCTGTTCATACCCTCAATGGATTGGATGTGCCCACCCACATTGGGGAGGGACCTCTACTTTATTTTATTTATTTATTTATACAGAGTCTCACTATGTGTAGAGCACTATGGCATAACAGCTCACAGCAACCTCAAACTCTTGGGCCTAAGCGATCCTCTTGCCTCAGCCTCCCAAGTAGCTGAGACCACAGGCACCCACCACAACGCCTAGGTACTTTTTTTGTTGTAGTTATAGTTGTTATTGTTGTTTGACAGGCCTGGGCCGGGTTCAAACTCACTAGCCCCAGTGTATGTGGCCAGCTCCAGTGTATGTAGCTGCTGAGCTACAGGCACAGAGCCACAGTTGACTATTTTGGGAAAAAAATCCTGAGAAAGAAGAGTCCTTGGAAGCTGGAAAGGGAGCTGCTTTCAGCTGACTTGGGGACTAGAGGATGGCTGAGGTGACCCCAAATCCAAGGCCCCAGAAGATGATGTCTTTTCTAGGCCACTGTGAGGGTAAAGAGTGACTGACCTGAGTGGGAGTGAGGGCAGGGGATGGGTGCAAGGAGTGCTGTGTCCAGCCCACAGCAGCCCAGCTCAAGTCCTTTGTTATATCCTCTGGAATGCCCACCCTGACTCCTGGGATGCTCACTCTGACTCCTCCCTACAAAATTGGTGTCTTCGGAAGGCGCCTATGGCTCAGTGAGTAGGGCCCCGGCCCCATATACCAAGGGCAGTGGGTTCAAACCTGGCCCTACCAAACTGCAACAAAAAAATAGGTGGATGTTGTGGCAGGCGCCTATAGTCCCAGCTACTCAGGAGGCTGAGGCAAGAGATTTCCTAAGCCCAAGAGCTGGAGTTTGCTGTGACCTGTGACACCGCAGCACTCTACCAAGGGCAATAAAGTGAGACTGTCTCTAAAAAAAAAAAAAATGGTGTCTTCAGTTAGGCTCTTAACAATTCCTTATACCTCTCTGGTTTGGTTTACTTTGCTTTGCACTGTAATTGTTTATCTTATTATTTTTTCTTTTTTTGAGATAGAGTCTCACTATGTCACCCTCAGTGGAGTGTTATGGCGTCCCAGCTCACAGCAACCTCAAACTCTTGGGCTTCAGCAATTCTCTTGCTTCACCCTCCCACATAGCTGGGACTACAGGCGCCCACCACAATGCCCAGCTCAGCTATTTTTTGTTGCAGTTGTCATTGTTGGTTAGCAGGCCCAGGCCGAGTTCAAACCCGCCACCCTCAGTGTATATGGCTGACGCAGTAATCTCTGTGCTACGGGCTCAGAGCCTGCACTGTAATTATTTTTTACCCTATTAAACTATACATTTTAAGAGAATAACATAGTAGCAATGTTGTGATTATTTTTGTATCCCTCTCTTCATAGTGTAGACAGGGTGCTACATGTACATATAGTAAGTAGTATCTGAATAAATACTTGAATGAATGAGTGAAGTGAGAACCAGATGAAGAGATTGTACACGTGCATGCGAGCATGTACGTGTGTGTGTGTGTGTGTGTACTGAGGGTGGTTACTATTGAAGGAAAGGGAGGAAAAGGTGAAAGAAGATGTGGGCTGGGGAAAAAAGAAAAGAACATAGGAGAAGAGTGAAAAGTTATAATAAGGTTTATTGATTGATAAATATTGTGTTTACCATGTATCACATACATCAACTAAATGTTTTCACGTGTATGACCTAATTTAATGTTCACAGCAATCACCTTATTTTACAGATGCTGAAGCCGAGTCTCAGAGAAGAAGGTGGCTTGCCCAAAGTCACATGGCTGGGAAGTAGCAATACCAGGACCCAAGGGCCCAAGCTCTTAATTTTTTTTTTTTTGAGACAGAGTGTCACTTTAGCATGTTTTCAGGTAGAGTATAGTGATGTCATAGCTCACAGCAACCTCAGTCTCTTGGGTTCAAGTGATTCTCTTGCTTCAACCTCCCAAGTAGCTGGGACTACAAGTGCCCGCCACAATACCTAGCTATTTTTAGAGACGGGGTCTTACTCTTGTTCAGGCTGATCTGGAACCTGTGAGCTCAGGCAATCCACTTGCCTCCACCTCCCAAAGTGTTAAGATTACATACAGGTGTGAGCCACCACGCCTGGCCCTGGGACCCAAGCTCTTAAACATAAATGCTATCTAACCTCCCCTGTTTTCCCCATAGCCCCTTTACTTCTCTTTTGAGACCTTTTGCTCCCTTTTAATTATTTGGCAGTGCCTGTGGCTCAGTGAGTAGAACACCAGCCCTATATACCCAAAGGTGGCGGGTTCAAACCCACCCCAGCCAAACTGCAACAATAAAATAGCCGGGCGTTGTGGCAGGTTCCTTTAGTTCCAGCTACTCAGGAGGCTGAGGTAAGAGAATCGCCTAAGCCCAAGAGCTGCAGGTTACTGTGAGCTGTGACGTCACAGTACTCTAACAAGGGCGACAAAGTGAGACTGTCTCTCTAAAAAAAAAATTATGTAATTATTTAAAATTATTTGCTTAATAACTATCTTCACTGATAGAATGTAAGCTCTAAAAACCCAGGGACTACACTGATTTTGTATCTTTAGTGATATACACCTTGTTCTTAGAATAATGCCTGACATGTAACAGGCAATCAATAAATATATACCTACTACCTGCCTGACTACTGAGTCTTAACATGACAGTCCCCAGGCTCCCCAGAGCCCCTCCTTCACTCTTCCTTCTCAGCTCTGCCTGCCTCAGGTCTGTCCTCCAATCCCACCCAGGAGCACCGCTACTCTCCCCAGCCTTAACCTAAAGCTGAGCTAGTAGACATTAAATGCTATGGCCAAGTTTTAGTCCCAGACAATCCCTGGACTCAGCAAATGCTGATCAAGTGACTGTCTGTCTCTGGCTTAGGATGGAAAGATGCCAGGAAAGATCGAACCATCTACCCTGATGGGTTACACCAGGGCTTCTAGAAGGGATTTTGTGGCAGGAGGGAGGGGGGCAGGAGATTGAATGTCTCTGTGACTTGTGCAGGGCAGCATGATGGATGAGCAGTGGAAAGCCTTTCTATGAAACATGCCAGACCTGTTGCAATAGTATCTCTCCCAACGGCCCAGCATTCTATTTCCCTAAAGACACGCTAAATCATGCTCTGGATTATTATGTGGGTGGCAACCTCCTGGCTCCTCCTCTGGGCTCCCAAAGGAGGTCTGTGTACACATGCCCCAGGGGAGGAAGAAGCATTCGAAAACTGGAGGAGGTCTGAACCCTTTTACCAAGAGACTTGGAGCTTCATGGAAAGTGACGGCCCTTTAAGACTTCTCAAGATCCTACTCTCTCTCTTTCCCAAATAGTCTGCCAGTTTTCAGTTTTGGTACACAGTGAGAAGGATTCTCTCTTTTTCTCTCTCTCTCCTCCCTTTCTTCTCCCTCTCTCAATAAGCGACCAAGGGAGGTGAGAGCCTCTGATGCTCAGCATTCAGGCTGCCCTTGGAAGAAAAGAATGGGTAGAGGGGTGATTAGGGGTACTGGCCCTTCATCTCGAATTGAGCATCTTTCCTGGGGCTGTAATCGCCCGGGAGTCCCCCAGCACATTACCAAATACAGTAGAAAGATGTGAAAGAGCCACACACTGACCACAGCGACATCCACCCGGTGATGGAGAAGTAAAATATGTGCTTGAACTTGCCCCGGGCTGGCCAGTTCACAAACCCCCATGGCCTCGTCCCTGCTTGCCTGGCTCTCTGTAGCCGCGATCTGCTTCTGCCAGCCTCTGCATTTTTGTATCTTTTTCTCATTGCATGGCCCCTTGTCTTTAAAAGGCTAAACTGCTCTGTACTAAATTTGGTCACGCAGCAGCTCCAAGATTCCCTGGAATGTCCTCAAGTTTCAAACAGCTCTGACAGGGAGGCAGGCCCGCCCCCAGCTTGGGGATTGGCTTCTCCTTTCGGGGCTGGGCAGTTGTCACGTCTTATTGGCCCTTGGTTAGACCAGCCAGGGTCCACTAGCCCTGAGCTGCAGGGAGGCTGCAGTGTCCACTTAACACTTCAGCATCTATAGCACAGCAGGGCCCAGCAGCTACAGTCCTCTACCAGCTGCGGGTTTGCTCCCAAGCCCACTCTGCTCCATCCAGATCAGCTCACCCTCTCCCTTCTCTGCCCTCCAGGACTCCCTTAGCCTCTGGCAAGAGCCTCAGCTCACTTTGCCAAGATGTCCAGGGTAGCCAAGTATCGCCGGCAGGTGAGTGAAGACCCCGACATCGACAGCCTGCTGTCCACCTTGTCTCCCGAGGAGATGGAGGAGCTGGAGAAGGAGCTGGATGTGGTGGACCCAGATGGCAGTGTTCCCGTGGGGCTGCGGCAGAGAAACCAGACGGAGAAACAGTCCACTGGCATGTACAACCGGGAAGCCATGCTCAACTTCTGTGAAAAGGAGACCAAGAAACTTATCCAGAGGGAGATGTCCTTGGATGTGAGTGAGCAGAACCTTGGAGGGAAAGAAGGAGGGGAGGGAGGGCTGGAGACTCTGCCTCTCTGACTAGGATGCTTCTTTCCTTAGAAGAAAAGTTCTTGTTGGCAAAGGATTTCGTGGTTCAGAACCGATTATTACACACTGAACTAGCAGTGTGAATCTCTTACACCTAATTTCTGTTTCATAAGCAGCAGTTGGATATGTTGGAGGAACATAACCATCCCACAAAATCAGAAAGGCCTAATAGTAGGATGGGAGCTGGAAGGTGTCCTTGAAGAGTTTGTTGTCAAGTTGACTCCATACTGGTCCATCAATCCCCTTTTTGTCCTCAGCTCTCATCCCACCTCTTGTAGAAGAAGGTGCAAAAGGATAGAATTACACTTGCAGTCTCCCCCCAGCCACCCAAAAAGAGAAAGCTAAACCCTCCTTGCGGGAGAAAGACCTATTTCTAAGCCCCCTGGCTCTATCGGCACATGAATCTTATGGCACATGGATCATTTGAGGAGGTTCAGGGGCAGGTAGGCTTCCCAAAGCAATGGGAGACACGGCCAGGGGCCTATGGGTGGGGAAACGTGTCTTAAAGATGTGATAGCTTCAAGTTTATTCCAGGGAAGCTGTTTTTGTTTATCCATTTGTTTTCTGCGCGCTCCCTTTTACAAGCTAGCAAGGCCATTTGGGGGGAGGATGAAGATATTTCACCGGGTGGATACAGAGGAGGGGAGAGGAGAGAGGCTTTTGGAAACCTCTGCTCATATCTAGGATGGGCTTAAGCACAACTTGCTTTCTGTTTTTCTGGGCTGGCACAGAGGAATTGTTATTTTTTCAGCATTTTGTTCCTATGTGAGTTTTCTTTGAACAAACTAGACTGGCCTGCACTTGAGAATGACTCTCTAGGATCCCTTTTCCCATAAAGAAGAGTGTTACTGGGAAAACTGTTCTGAGACTTTGCAATGGGTCTCTTCTACTCAGCACATCTCTTGTACGTTATCTGTTACTTGTGAATTATTGCAAGGAAAGGGTCAGTCTCAATTGTTGTTTTTTATTTTGCTTCTATGGAAACCGAGGCCCAGAGCTTCGAATGACATTCTCATTTGCATAGAAGAACAGACAAAGGGAATATTATCATGTCAAACTTCTGTGGAATGTCTGGCTGGGTATGAAACTGTGTTGACCGCTAGTCCTCAAGCATGTAGGTGGTGACTCCTTGAGTGCAGGATGGGAAAGTAGGGCAGAGGCGAGAAGGGGCAAGGCAAGGGGAGTAGAGGAGCTGGAGCTGATCTTCCCCAAGTGCCCCCCCACCCCTGGGCTTATGGTTAAGGCTTTGCCAAGAAGTAGGGAGAGTGAGGGAAGCCAGGAGGCTCAGAAATTTATGTCCTGTGAACAAGCTATCAGGAAACATACTGAAAGAAATGATACGCAGGTAAAGGCCCTAGCACCCCCATAAACTTTGGCTGTACTTGTCTCCCATTCCCAGCCCCCAGGCTCTGTGCCCATCACTGCCTCATATTCAGCGGCTGCTTCTGGTGCTGAGAAAGCTACTCCTGAGGCTGAAGTCAAAGAAAACATTCTTAATCATAAGCAAGATGTTTAGGCCACAGTGTGAGGAATCCTCACATTCCTGGAAATTTCATTCTCATGAGCCTTTCTCCTCAGCCAATGAATTCCATGGCAACCCCCCCCCCATCCCCCCTGCCCCGCTTCCCCACCCCTGACAGGTTCACCTTTGTCTCTGCAGACAGAGTCCTAGTCAGGAGCAGAGGGTGGTAGGTGTGCTTGTGTGTGCCTCCTTGCCATATGGAGATGCCTTCAGGACCATTTTTCCCTCATGGAAATAAGCCGTTTGCACCCACAGGGTCTTCCTCACACAGTCTGGGGGCACATGTTGGCACAGGGGCTGGCTGGAGTTCAGAGTGCTCACTGAGCTGTGAACAGAAGTCACCTCCATATATCTGAGTGGATGGGAATGAACCCCAGAAGGGGGCTTCTTTAGCCCCAATAGCAATATAGTGAGTGTGCAATATAGAACTTGGATTCAATATCAGAAAAACCTGGCTTGAGTACTGAGGCTTAGTTCTTCATCTACAAAATAAGGGTGACAGTACCCATCTCATGGGATTGCTGTGAAAACTAAAAGGGATAGCAATGTAAAGCACTTAGCACAGAGCTTGGTGTGTACTAAACAGTCCATAAATGGCAGCTGTGAAATTATCAATTTCTTTGGATCAAGGAAGCCAGAAACTGGTGGAGTGAGCCAAAAGCAAACCTCTACCTCCTGCCCAGCCTCTCCCTTTCCTCAGTCCCCTGAGGGGTGGGCAAGTCATGCCTGTTGGTTTAGCGAGTGACCAGAATGGACAAGCAAAGCCTGGGTGCTTGGGGGTAGGGGCAAGAACGGTGGGTGGGGCCCCAGGCTGGACCGACAGCAGCCCTGCTAATGGTGGTCTGCACCCTAAGCAAGGAACGAAGACAGTTGGCAAAACAGAGTAACTGTGAACTTGTTTCACTGGAGTTGAAGAAGAGCAGCAGAATGAGCATTTACTAAGAGCCTTCTATGTGCCAAGCACATTTACCCTTTCTTTTATGTAAGCCTGACCATTCCTGAGAGAGATTTTCATTCCGGTCATCTCAGAGACATTGAATAACTGCCCCAAGGTCACACAGCTAATAGTGGCCTGCCTGACTCTGAGATCTGTGCTTCCTCCTCGCTGCCACACTAGGGTACATAAAGGGCAGTAATGCCAGTCCCTGCCCTGAATCATTTATAATCCAATCAGAGTTACAAAACACAGAGAACCACCACAGAGCCCAGGCACGGTGACTCACACCTGTAATCCCAGCACTCTGGGAGGCCGAGACAGGAGGATTACTGGAGCTCAGGTGTGCCAGACCTCCTCGAGCAAAAGCGAGACCCCTCTTCTACCGAAAATAGAAAAACTACCTGGGTGTGCTAGTGGGTTCCTGTAGTCCCAGCTACTCAGGAAGCTGAGGCAGAAGGATCACTTGAGCCCAGGAGTTTGAGGTTGCTGTGAGCTGGCTGAGGCCACAGCACTGTAGCCTGGAGACAGAGCAAGTCTCTGTCTTAAAAAAAAAAAAACAGCAGAGAGTGTTACAGAGCAGTGGCCACATATTCATATGTTGTCCTAGGAGCAGTAGCCATAATACAGTCTGGCTGGCTGCTCATCTCCCACCCCTGTAAGAACATAGCTATTATTAATAAGAACAAGTGTGAATTACAGAAAGTAAATCCTCATGGGATACTGAATGGCATGAAGGATTTTTTGTGGATTCCTTTTAAGTGTAATAATTGTATTATGGATATACTGTTCTTCTTTTTTTTTTTTTTTTTT